TGATTGAAAATGTAAAATTCATACTCTGAATGTTGTAGTGATTTCAGTAAATAGTTGCAAATGTTTATGTGCATCAGTTCTTACATCGAGCCAGTTGTCCATCAAAGTTTCAGCCTCAGCCTCAAAGGGAGTCTCGGTGCAATCTGGGAATTTCTTCAGATCTGATTGAAGTTGTTTGCAAGCAGCCCTCATCTCCTCCATCTTCTCAGCAAGACCAGCCAACTCCTCCTTCATTTCACAAACCTGAAAGAGGGTCCACATGAGAACACAACGTTTCTATGGAATGAGACACAATCAGTTCAGAGCATAACTAAAGGCTTAAAGGGCTGACCTTTGACACACTTCTCTGCAGGTAATCCTTGCCCATGTAGGAGGCCTGATCACCGATGGTCTGCTCAGCTTTCTGAATGCTGGTGTTGAGGTGACTGCGGCAGGTCTGAAACTTCTTCAACAGCTCCAGCAGAACATTGCAGAGCTTCTTCCTGTCAACAAAACAAACACAACAAAGGACATTTCAATCAATGCTGAAACCATCTAGTTCACTTATATTTCAGGTTTGACAACAAGTGACACCACAAATCTGAAGACAGTAGGAGAGAAGAAGAAAGACTTTTGGCTGCAGATAACAAGAAGCCAGGACATCAGATCCAATGTATTTCTTAATGTACACCACTGCCTGAAATATGGGCCTGCAACCATGGATGGGGAGGGTGTTATTTGGGGTGGGTGGGGTGTGGGGGGTCATGTCCATTTGGTCCCCTGCACTTTTTTAACGAAAAAAAACAAACAATGCACCAACATTCGTGGAGCACTAGGACCAAGCAGAACACCGCAGTTTAAGCTGAAACCCCTTACCTTACCTGCCCACCAAGTAGGAAACAATCCAAGAAAATATTGCAGAGTAAAAAATTATTTGATAAAAAAGGCGTGCTGAGTAAAATTCTGGTATTTGAAAGACTCCAAATAAGATAATTCATAGAAATAATCCTCGTTGTCTTCTGCTTCCTGCAGGTAATGGAGGCAGGAAGTCTCAGCAGTGAATTCATTTAAAAAAAGTTAATACCAACTAATGAGACAGAGGAGACATGTGTCCTAATCCCTTTTCTAATACATAAACCAGAACATTATAGGTGGTAATGTATGTTTGAGGTCATCCAGTCAAAGGAGAATACCAATTTATTTATTTTTTACATAAACTTTGTTTTATAGCATTTTGATTGCATACAGTAAAAATGGAAAATCAACTGAAGGTTCAATCAAGAAAGAAGAGTTATTCTTCATCTAGAGATTTCTAAAGTAAAAGTAAAAACTACACTGCAGAGACTAATTATAACAGTTAAAAAGCTATGGTTAAAAGTGACTCTAGTAAATGTAACTAGTTACCACCAACAACTGCAAGTATATGCCCAGATCTCTCTCTTCTTTCTATATACACCCTCTGACCCTTATGCACCGGGTCAAGAACCAGCGACCAATGGTCCCATAGAGGGGTTCAGAAGTCTGCATGAAAAACGGTCAAATCAGTTATGAGACGCCGGCCATGACAGCGGAGCGAGAGGCGGAGTCAGTGAGACTTGGCCTAAGAAATGGAACAGGAAACATCAGGGACCGGCGTAAAGAAAATCAACAACCGTTCTGTGGGAGCCTGAAAAGGCTTTGTTGAACTGAAGGCTGATTTTAGAAAAACCGTAGCAGCTTTCAACAAATCGTTTTCAGTTTTAGAAAGGTGAAAGATGTATCTACAAACTGAGCTTTAAACTGTGTTTGTAGGTGAATGTATGACCACACAGCAAAGGCTCAAACCTGGTGGGTTTTTATGTCTTCTTTCTCCCCTCTCACCATTCATTCCTATGGGATTTCCTATGGGTCACCATGGTAACTCTACGGTTCAGGCCACATTATTGTTGATGGTAGAAAAAAATCTTAACTTTCAAAGATATAAAGAGTCGGTTTTTGGAGATAATAATAATAGTAGGTGCCTCCATGCATGGCATGGCATTCTGTGCTCCTATCATTGCTATGGCAGG